GAAATAGTAGTAGTAGGAATAGTAGTAGTGGTAGAAATAGCAGTAGTGGTAATAGGAGTAAGTAGAAATAGTAGTAGTGGTAATAGGAGTAAGTAGTAGTAGTAGGAATAGTAGTAGTGGAGTAAGTAGAAATAGTAGTAGTGGTAATAGGAGTAAGTAGAAATAGTAGTAGTAGAAATAGTAGAAGTGGTAATAATAGTAGAAATATTAGTAGTAGAAATAGTATTAGTGGTAATAATAATAGAAATAGTAGTAGTGGTAATAGTAGTAGAATTAGAATTTATTTAATTCAAAACAAACTTGATCTGCGTATTTACATTCTCCAGTTCCTATATGTTAAAGCTTCGATACTTTTATACATTTTGAGAAACCTACGAATGGCTAGGTAGCGCCCCATCGACTCAGCTGTCAATCAAAATTAAGAATATATATAATTAGAGAAGCTGACCACGCCTCTTTCTATCTCCTATGCAAGTAGACTGACCCCAGATCTCATTTCCCTCAAAACTAGACTCTAAGCGAGTATTAGAGAATCGTTCATGCCCAAGTGCTATACTCTACTTGTTGTTTATCTCTGCTCAAATGTGACACACACACACACGCACACCCAGTCACATTACACTTCGGTTTAATTTAAAGGTTCTTTGACTTTTAAACTGTCACTCGGCAATTAGCTGCACTCTGACCCGCAATTAGAATTAGTTTGTTCCTAGTTGAATTATGGCAGCATGACAAACGGAGCTGCCTGCTGCAGTTGCAGTTGCAGTTGCCGTTGCAGGCGCTGCTGTTGACGTTGCTTAATTAACTGCAATTTGCGGAAGTGCAAGTGCGCTGAGAGCTTGCTGCAAAGAGCGTCTCACTTGCAACAGCAGCGCCCTTCTCTCTCTCTCTGCCTTTGTCTCATGCTCTGTGGAAAAAAAGTATTTGCAGCCATAATCAATTTAGCTGTTCGCTTCAACATTTGATTTCTCACTGACCTAAGTATGTAACACTCTCAGTGTGTGTGTGTTTGTCTGTGTTTGTGTATCTGCTGCTGTGCATAAACAAGACCAAAAGTATCTTTTTTCCAAGCTCTGTTGCCCCACTCGATGTCGGTTCGGCGTGATTGCTCAGGTTGGGGCCCGACTCGTCTTACATATTTGCGCTGACTCCAGCATTCGTATGCACATATTAGCCCCGCCCTCCTCCTCCTCCTTCTCGGTCCTCATTCCGGGTGAGCACTGCTCAGGCTCCCCATTGGCATGTGTTTATTGTGCTTTCAGCATACATATTACTTACAAAGTCTCTTGTGTTGTTCTTTCGTTTGCGCTTTGCGCTTTGCTTTGCTTTTTTATAATGCCCCGCTAAAGCGCAGCTTTATATACCCTGTAGCTGACTGTGTGCCATGAGGTATGCTAGTTGGTTAGTTATTTTAATTTGTTTTTTTCATATAAATTGTTTTTAAAGTAAATATTTTTTCTTAATTTTCAGTTTAAGAAAAGTGTTTTTATTTTTTTATTTTATTATTATTTTTTTATTATTATTTTATTTATTTTTTTATTTATTTAATTTTATTTATTTATTTTTCTTTTAAATTCTTTTTTAAATTTTATTTCTTTATTTATTTTTTGTTAATTTGCATATTCTCAATTTTTGTGCTAAAAATTTTATAAAATTATATTAAATTTTTTAAACAAATTTTTGTCGTATATCATATTTTTAATCATATTATTCAACTTTTTTTTATAAAATGTAGTGTTATTATTTGATAAATTAATATTTTTTGATAACTATTTTATAACATTTTTCTAAGCATTTTTTTTTTTAAATATATATTTTGCCAGTTTTTTTACTTTTCTAAAATGATAAAAAAATTTTCAAATTCACAGAGTATCTATATAGTCTATATAGTCGTGCCTGCCACTGCCAAGAACATTTACTTGTTATTATGCACAACGGGCCGCGTTTCGAAAATGGTAAAAATAAGTTAAACTTTGCCTTTGACTGGTCAGCAAATGGGGAAATCAACTTGCAGTACATTTTGCGCTGGCCGTTAAATAAATTCTCAGTTTTTTGTTCGTTTTGTGCTCAAAGCGTCAGCAGGAAATGGGCTAGGCAGTTAAAAAATATGGCAAATACGTCTAATAGCGTATTGTTCGGCAGCTGCTGCTGACAGCAATAAAAGAAACAAAAATGCATTTGTCACAAGAAATTTGAAATTCCTTTCATTTCCTGCACGGCTAAGAACACATTGATGTGCATTAAAAAACACGCACACAAAAAAATATATATATTATAATGACAACTGATTTATTGCTCGACACATATATTGCGAGACATATGTATTTACCTTGCCCCGGAACGAGTTTTCATTCTACCTTTTTTTTGCG